CCCCGCGGGACATAATTATCAGATTCCTGCACTTCCAAACCAAGGAAGCACTACTACGGAGAGGAAGAGACGGCCCAATCACATACCAGGGGGCCAACCTGTCCTTATACCAGGACTTAGCCCCGGCCACTCTACAGAGGAGGCGTGAGTGGAAGCCCATCACGGAGACCCTGAGAGGGGCGAACGTGTGCTACGCATGGGGCTACCCCTTTAAACTACTGGCCTTCCTCAACGGCAGGACCCATGTTTTGCAACCCGGTGACGACGCCAACGCTTTGTTCGCAGACCTGGGGATCCAGGCTCCGACACAGGTCCCTGCAACGCTCACGGGTACAGATGACCTCCAACCCCTGCCAGGAGAGTGGCAGACCATCGGGGACTAAGGTACTGGGGATTCACTGGGGGAGAGCTGACTGGGCCGAGCTACGCCACAGATGTTGTGTCTACGGGGAGGGAGACCTGAAGGTGGGGAGGGGGGATGGGTGCACATTCCCAACAGAGGCCGGGGATGAGGTGCTCTACACTCCAGGCCTCAAGGTAGCGGCAGTGAGGCCACATTAGACCGGGACCTATATTACACCGGGGCGCGACTGGCTTAAGTGGGGGGGGAACGGGGTTTCGGGAAGGGGGCTGTTACGAACAATGAGAGGGGCGCATGAAGACATGCCCAGACTTGGCCTAGGCAACAGGCCGTGAATTGCAAATGCACTCGTTGCAAAGGTCATGGACAGAGCAGCTGGTCGTCACAACTACGCCCCCATTTGTTTGTTTGTTTGCATGTTTATTACAGGGAACGCCACCTACCCGCCCCTAGGCCCCAGGGTATAGGTCCAGTAGGGCCACAGCTGTGAAGTCGAACAGCAATACCAAGGAGATACCCGTCAAGGGGCCTATGGGGCACCAAGGTACGTGGAATGGGGCACTCAGGGGTGGGGAACGGAAACTGGGGGGGACACACCACTATAGAGGACGCAGCCGCACCCAATGAACACGACACACTACACGTGACTATGACCCTGTGACCGTGGGGAGCCTGTGATCTCCAGGTGACGGTCAGGTTGACTCACGGGGCTCCCGCGGGGCATCACAGGTTATGCCGTCTAGTCAAGGTAGACCATGACAGAAACAACGGAACTAGGGTTCACACACACTGCAGCAGACCAACGCGACCCTCTTTAAACACCCCACTCCGACCCGACTGGACAGGAGAGGGCCGGCCAGCCCGGATGTGGCGGCACCCCACCTTGTACCCATACACCCCAGTCCCCCACTGAATAAACACCCAAGAAAAGAATACAGCCCGAGGACGGCCCACTGACGACAAACCCCCATAATTCACAGAGCCTCGCTCAACATGAGGGGCCACGGGAGTAGGGGCGGTCACTGATTACCCGGTGTCCCTAAGGATCGTCTGGTTGTGGTACTGACATGTAATAACAATGTGGTAATGGTATATGGACTTGTAACGCAATGTATATACAGTATATGATGTTTGTTAACCATTGTTCCCCAGGGTTACATCAATCTTACCCAACCACAAGCAGTAGGCTACACCAATCCTAAGAGGAGCCTCCTCTATACCCCGTAGATCAGTTCTCACGTGGAAAGGATACGTTCCCTACCCGCAGTAGGACACCCCTCAAAAGACTTAGGTGAGTATGACCAGGACCACATACCCACCTTACCATTCAATGACAGTGCGCACCCAGGGTTCGACCCAGGAACGAATGGAGACCCCTCCACCCCCCTCCCCCTCCCTGAGGGAGGCGACCCCAGACAGCCCACCCTCCCCCCCCACACCTTGACACCCCAACCGGGGAAGTCCCCAAACTCTACAGCGCGCAGAACCAACCTCCATGACCTGTTAGAATCTACCAATCACTTAGCACACCTAAGCGACCCATTCACGGTGTGGACACCCCCACAATACAGGAACCCAATTTCTACTCTCCCCTCATCCTCGGGAGAATGGATCCGGGTACCACACCCCACACCGGACTGGCGACTGGTAAGACCAGTCATACTTCTTTTCTTCTTCCCTACTCTTTATTTCCTCTTCTCCTCTTCCTCCCCCCCTCTTCCCCCCCTCCGTATACGCCAGGATCAGTAAGATGTAGAAGCTTCGAGAAGGTCCCACCTGTACACTCTGGCGGCAGCCCGGAGAATCAGGGAGGTAGGCCCCTTCACACGGGCAAGCACAACACCCGACTAAAAGGATGGCCTTAAAACTGTCGTCCATAAATGTTAAAGGTTTGAACGCCCCCAAAAAGAGGCGCTTAATGTTCAGGGAAATTAAAAGACTAGACGCGGATATAGCCTTCCTACAAGAGACACACATATCCCAAAACACAGCACTACACCTACGAGACTGTACATACTCTACTTCATACGAAGCTAGATCACATTGCAAGGGAAATAGGGTGGCCATACTCATAAATAAAAAATGCCCGATCCAAATACTGTCCTTGGAGATGGACGCAGACTGAAGATACATAGCCCCTACACTCACACCCGGTACACCTGATAAACATATACGCCCCCAACACGCACGACACCACATTCTGGGGGAACCTTACCACTAAGATAAAGAATCTGCCCTACGGTATGCTCATAATGGGAGGTGACTTCAACGCCGTTCTGTGTCCAGCCGCAGACAGGAGCTCCAGAGCGGGCCAACTGAGATCACAGGGCAAAGGGAGCCAAGATAAATTTATACACGACTTCATCCTAAACACCGCCTTGGTGGATGTGTGGCGGGCTCAACACCCTAGTGACTCAGATTACACGTTCTATTCCGCTCCCCACGGGACATATTCTAGGATTGACTATTTCCTGGTGAATAACGCCAGCATGGCCAGGGTGGTGGATTCAAAGATTGGATCCATCACGTGGTCGGACCACGCAGACGTATCCCTGACTCTGGGGAACCTCTGCACAGCATCACCGTGGAACTGGAGAATGAACTCTTACCTGCTACGAGACACACAGGCTGAAATACGCGAAGACATAAGAGCATACTTTCGCGAAAATGAAACAGAGGACATGACTCCAAGTACCGTCTGGGCAGCCCATAAAGCCGTGATCAGGGGCTCTTTTATCAAGCTAGCTACGAGGAAGAAAGCACAAAAGATGAAGACACTAAAACAACTCCTAGACTCCCTGAGGAAGATTGAACAAAAACACAAGATGACGCCAACCTCACAACTTCTCGAACAACTGACAAGGACCAGAAGATCCATCTCGGAACTCTTGCTGGACGACACCGCTAAAGCCATCTCGAGGACCAAAAGGACCTATTACGAAAAATCGAATAAGATGGACACGCTGCTCGCCAGAACCCTGCGACCACGGCAGAATAGTACCGTTATCACCTCGATCTAACACAAAGACGGCTCCATTAAAAATACCCCAGCTGATATAGCCCAGGTCTTCACTGACTAATATGAAAAACTATACAACCATACACACAGGAGCCCCGCATCCCAAGAAGACGCGACGAAACGCATGCATACTTTTCTGAAAGACCTAAACCTACAAAAACTCCCGTCGGCTGCGGCATCTCTCTTAGATGACCCTATCACCATCGAGGAAATAGATAAGGCAATAAGGAACTTAAGGGCAATAAAGCCCCGGGCCTAGATGGCTATGATGGAACGTACTACAAAACATTCCGGGAGGAACTCTCACTGAAATTGGAACGACTCTTCAACGATCTTATGGATGGCAGGAACCCGGGGGGAGAGATGTCCCTCGCCAACATCATCCTCCTCCAAAAACCGGGCAGAGACCCTTTACTCCCCGACAACTACAGACCGATCTCCTTAACTAACCACGACATTAAAATTATGGCAAAAACTCTAGCAGACAGACTTAACCCCGTACTGAAGACAATGATACACCCAGACCAAGTGGGTTTCATACCCGACAGACAACTATTCGAGAACACCAGACGGAACATCGATCTCATCTGGAGACAAAGGACTAACGACACTCCAACACTCCTTGTCTCAATAGACACGGAGAAGGCCTTCGACAGAGTCGAGTGGCATTATCTGTTCCACCTATTGGAATACCTGGGTTTCCCCGAAAGATACGTGACATCGATCAAAGCAATGTACAAACACGCAACCGCACAAGTTAAAATAGCCGGAACCGGACCCAAACCAATCAAATTGGGGAACGGAACCAGGCAGGGATGTCCACTATCCCCGCTCCTGTTCGTGCTCACGCTAGAACCGCTTCTACAAGCTATGCGCAAACATCCTCGCATTAAGGGGATAGCGGTGAGAGGGCAGGAGTTCCTAGTGTCCGCTTACGCGGACGATGTACTGGTAACCCTCACGGAACCCAGGGAATCCCTGGAAGCCCTGCAAGAAGTCCTCACACTCTTCGGAGCATTCTCCGGTTACCAAGCAAACTTAGAAAAATCCGGCGCCCTCCCGATAGGCCTGTCTGCGGAGGACACGGCGGCGTTGGGGGACACCTATAACATCCCCATAGCAAATGACAAACTGAAGTACCTGGTAGTACAACTCCCAAGCGACCCAACCAAAATTTACCAACTAAACTACAGTCCGCTCATACGAACACTAATACAAGACATGGAAAAATGGCAGAATAAACCCATATCCTGGATCGGGCGAATACACGCAGTTAAAATGAACATCCTGCCCCGAATACTGTTCCTTTTTCAGGCACTACCCATAAAGATACTGAAATCCGACTTAGCTCATTTACAAAAAGCAATAGGCGACTTCATCTGGCAAAACCGGCGGCACAGGATCTCCAGAAACATTTTGTACAGACAGAAACAGAGGGGAGGGCTGGGGCTGCCACACCTATACTATTATTACTTAGCAGCGCAACTCGCCCAAGTGGCAATGTGGCACGCGCCACTAGAAGTGAGGAGATGGGTAGACCTGGAGTCCCTACTGACAGGAGCAGACCTCCCACAATATCATATGCGGGTACCCAAGGAAGATAGACCAATACTAAGGACCACATGCCCAGCTATACTAAACTCTCTGAGGATATGGGATGCCACGGCTCTCAAGTACAATCTGTCTTCCTCCCCATCTCCACTGACACCCCTTCTGAGAAACCGAGCTTTCGCCCCGGGCATGGCAGCGAGAGATTTCACAAACCTAGAAACAGCAGGACTACAGAGAATCTGCCATATGTTTGAACACGGCCAGCTGGTCACCTTCGACCACCTAAAACAGGCGACCCATCTCACCCCCATAGATTTCTTTAGGTATCTGCAGATAAGGGACTATGTACAACACCCACAAGTGCAAAGGGCCGCTAAAGAGCAGCTGACTTTCTTTGAGAAGATGTGCCTCACTGAAACGGCACAGCAGGGCTTAATAACCAAGATGTACTCACACATATGCTCAGAAACAGAGGAATGGGGCACCCTGGCCTATGCAGATGCGTGGGAAAAAGATCTGGGAGAGGTCCTGGAGGGCGTGGAGTGGAGGGAAATATGGGAAGCAAATAGTTCGGTCTCCATATGCGTTTCCCTTCAAGAGCAGTCTTATAAAACAATGTTCAGGTGGTACACCACACCGGCCAAACTGCACTGCATGAAACAAATACCGACCGACAACTGTTGGAGGGGTTGCGGCCTTAGCGGCACTTATATCCATATGTGGTGGGAATGCCCTCACGTGCAAATCTTCTGGACAAAGATACACAAATTAATCAACATAATTTTCCATAGAGCCCCCAAATTAGACCCATGGACATATTTGCTTAATAGATCTTTAGACGATTGGACAAAGAGGGAACAGAAATTGATTCACAAGATTACACTAGCCGCAAGGAGAGCTGTAGCGCAGACATAGCTACAGGTGGAAATGCCACCCATACAGAGGGTAATCTCTAACATAAAAGAGGTGCACCTAATGGACAAACTGACTGCCCGACTAAGAGGATCCATGACTAGCTTCGACAAACTGTGGGACCCATGGCAGAGTAGCGACCTCTCTGACGACACAACACACACCTAACCCTCCTAAGGCTAGGGATGGTCCTGGACTGGGACCCCAGAAGAGATAGCCATAAACTGTAGAGCTCCACACCATGCTGACCTGACGTATACCCATACCTTACCCCTCCCCATCCCTTCCTTCTCTGCCCCTGCCTCCCCCCCCCCTTTATTCTTCTCTTTCTTCTTTTTCAACTTTCACTCTCTTTCACTCATAATATCGCGGGGGAGCCTGAGAACCGAACCTTACTCCCCAGCGAACAAGTCTTCCCCTGGCAGGCCCAGGGTTCCACCACAAGGTTCGAGAGCCAGAGCTCCCTCCCGATAAAAACCACTACCTTAAAAAATTGTGCGCTAACCGACACGGAAGGACATATGTCAACTACCGTTAGAGTCAGACATAGGACATGTTACCCACTGGAAGCAAATGTCACTGATGCGACCAGAACTCGCCCTATTACGCCAGGACACAGAGTAACGGGGTCACCCAAAGAATGATAAATCCCACAAAGCTACACTTCTATACACCCCTACTGAGTTACACGGCAATGCAATACCTAGGAAATGACGATCACATGGTACCTATGTCACCTTTATTACTGAAAAAAAAAAAAAGAAAAACCCTTGACGCGTAGCTGGAAACTTACTCCTAATGTACAAGTTATAAAACTTACGATTGTTTTTTTTCTTTTTTCTTTCTGGTATGTATTACTGTGGTTATCTGTATTACGTATTAATGGGCTTTTGCACAAGCCACGTTGAAAATTTTATAGTGCTACTCTTGTCAAGATGAAAAAATAAAGAAATTACAAAAAAAGCGAAAATGCTGTAGTTAGTTTGTTTGCTTATGAAGTGAAATAAAGTCTGAGAAGCCTGTAGTATACCGATTGACCGGCAGGGGTCAGCATATAGGCGAAAATGCCATGGTTCGTTGGTTTGTACATGAAATGCAATAATGTCTGAGAAGCCTGTAGTACACTGAATGACCGGTAGGGGTCAGTGTGTAGGTGAAAATGCAGTGGTTTATTGGTTTGTACATGAAATGCAAAAACGTCTAAGAAGCCTGTAGTACACCGAATGACCGATAGGGGTCAGTGTGTAGGTGAAAATGCAGTGGTTTATTGGTTTGTACATGAAATGCGTCTGAGAAGCCTGTAGTACACCGAATGACCGGTAGGGGTCAGTGTGTAGGCGCAAATGCAGTGGTTCGTTGGTTTGTACATGAAATGCAATAATGTCTGAGATGCCTGTAGTACACTGAATGACCGGTAGGGGTCAGTGTGTAGGTGAAAATGCAGTGGTTTATTGGTTTGTACATGAAATGCAAAAACGTCTAAGAAGCCTGTAGTACACTGAATGACCGATAGGGGTCAGTGTGTAGGTGAAAATGCAGTGGTTTATTGGTTTGTACATGAAATGCAAAAACGTCTAAGAAGCCTGTAGTGCACCGAATGACCGATAGGGGTCAGTGTGTAGGTGCAAATGCAGTGGTTCGTTGGTTTGTACATGAAATGCAATAATGTCTGAGATGCCTGTAGTACACTGAATGACCGCTGGGGGCCGGGGTCTAGGTGAAAATGCAGTGATTCGTTGGTTTGTACATGAAATGCAATAATATCTGAGAAGCCTGTAGTACACCGAATAACCGATAGTGTGTAGGTGAAAAATTGTATTTCGTTTGTAGTTTTAACCCAACAGATTTTAACCCAACAGATTTTAACCAAAACAGATTTTACATGAACAGCTAGGTGAGTATAAGGTAACGAAATAACCGTGCAAAACGAAAGGAAACTGTAAAGTGAGGACCCATGCTGTGCTGAACATCCTGGCGCGACAAGTGGGTCAACTTACGGTTTGAGAGTCCCCGAGACACCAAATGCGATGCTGACCGGAGAGAAAGCCACGGGATTAACGGAAAGCCCTGCTGCAGGATTCCTGGACACAGCTTGGAGTAGGAGACCTCATGGAGCAAAGGTGAAACCAAAATGGTGTCTTGTATGACCTGGAAGTGGATCTCATGCAAATGCTGTCCTTGAACAGTCTATTCGTCTGACCAACAAAGGTAAGTAGGGAAAGGGGGGAGTCCCTTTTATAGGTTTATAGCCCCTCCCACAACTTCAGGCCATGCCTTCCAATATATATAAAATGTCCTATTTTTATTTATACATACATATATATATATAATTTCATTCTAAGTGTATTTTGATAGAAATATATATATATATATTACTATCAAAATACAGTTAGAATAAAATGACATATCATTTTTAAAAATTTTATTTTTTTATTTTTATTTACTTATTTATATTTTATAATATACAATATATATAGTTATAAATATAATGTGTGTGTAATTTAATTTTAAGTGTATTTTTATATTAACATATGTACAGTTGCAAGAAAAAGTATGTGAACTCTTTGGAATGATATGGATTTCTGCACAAATTGGTCATAAAGTGTGATCTGATCATCATCTAAGTCACAACAATAGACAATCACAGTCTGCTTAAACTAATAACACACAAAGAATGAAATGTTGCCATGTTTTTATTGAACACACCATGTAAACATTCACAGTGCAGGTGGAAAAAGTATGTGAACCCTTGGATTTAATAACTGGTTGAACCTCCTTTGGCAGCAATAACTTCAACCAAACGTTTCCTGTAGTTGCAGATCAGATGTGCACAACGGTCAGGAGTAATTCTTGACCATTCCTCTTTACAGAACTGTTTCAGTTCAGCAATATTTTTGAGATGTCTGGTGTGAATCGCTTTCTTGAGGTCATGCCACAGCATCTCGATCGGGTTGAGGTCAGGACTCTGACTGGGCCAATTCAGAAGGCGTATTTTCTGTTCCATTCTGTTGTTGTTTTACTTCTATGCTTTGGGTCATTGTCTTGTTGCAACACCCATCTTCTGTTGAGCTTCAGCTGGTAGACAGATGGCCAGGGGCATATTAGCCACGAGGCAAACAACGCATTTGCCTTGGGCGGCATTTTTCAGGGGGCGGCAAAAAACGCCACCCCCAAATACCCAGGGCAAATGTCTTGTTAGCCTCGCGGCTAACAGACATGCCGAGCGGGCGGGCGACGCTGGCAGGCGGCTGGCGAGGGAGCACTTCCCCTGAGCTGACTGCTCAGCTCCCTCGCGCGCCGCAGAGTGAGGCTGGGAGCCGGAAGATGACGTCATATTCCGGCTCCCAGCCTCACTCTGTGGCGCGCGAGGGAGCTGAGCGGTCAGCTCAGGGGAAGTGCTCCCTCGCCAGCTGCCCACACAGCAGCCAGCGCCGCCCAGCCCGACCGGCAGCCACTGGACCAGCATGGAGAGAGAGACCCCCCCCACCACTCCCAAAGGTAAGGAGGCTGGGGGATTAAAAAAAAAGTTAATGTGAGTGATTATGTGTGTGTCTGACTGTGTGTGTGTGTGTGTGTGTGTTTGTGTCTGACTGTGTGTGTGTGTTTGTGTCTGACTGTGTGTGTGTGTGTGTGTTTGTGTCTGACTGTGTGTGTGTGTGTTTGTGTCTGACTGTGTATGTGCCTGACTGTGTATGTGTCTGACTGTGTGTGTGTGTGTTTGTGTCTGACTGTGTGTGTGTGTTTGTGTCTGACTGTGTGTTTGTGTCTGACTGTGTGTGTGTGCTTGTGTCTGACTGTGTGTTTGTGTCTGACTGTGTATGTGTCTGACTGTGTATGTGCCTGACTGTGTATGTGTCTGACTATGTGTGTGTTTGTGTCTGACTGTGTGTGTTTGTGTCTGACTGTGTGTGTGTTTGTGTCCTACTGTGTGTGTGTGTTTGTGTCTGACTGTGTGTGTGTGTGTGTTTGTGTCTGACTGTGTGTTTGTGTGTGTCTGACTGTGTGTGTGTATTTAGAAGGTGGGACGGGGGGGAAGGGTTGGGTGGGGTTGGCGCGGGGGGAGGGGGCGCCTGAGTTTTGTCCTGCCTAGATGGCCTTAAGTTCTATCATTACTTAAGTATAAAAATAAGAACTTAAGGGAAGAAGATGTTAAAATTCCCTTAATTTTTGATTTTAGTTCCAATAATCATGAGTTGCGGAGGACAATTACAAAACATTGGCATATATTGCAAGAAGATACAGAAATTCTTCCGTTCTTAAATCCCAAACCTAAATTTGTTTTTAGAGGAGCCAGGAATTTTAAACAGATCTTAACTAAAAGTTTTTTAGATAAAAGTGATGATAAGGATTTAAATAAAAAAAAGTTTTTACAAGGAAAC